GAAGGACTGAAGGAACAAGAAAGAATGGGGTTCCTGATAAGCACCACTCAGCCACCTCCAAAACACAGGAAGAAGCAGGAGTGTGCTTTTTAGGAAAACAGAGTTCCTGAAAACAAGAGCTATCTATAGGAGGGCCATCTTGCCTTGCATAAAAACCCCCGAGTCAGTTATTTCTAGAAAATTTTAAGAGAGTTCTAGAGAAAAGAAGCCCCAAACCCTCATTTTTTTTATTTATAAGGAATTATCTTCCCATTGCTCATGGCAGACCTACTTCCCCTCTGCAAGGCCTAAAACCAAGGCTTTGCTGAAGGTCAAACCAGCCCAAGGAAATCCAGATTATGCTCTAAATGCCATGATTTCCCCCAGGTGAACAGCAGAGGGCAGCAAAGAGCCATAAAGGAAGCTGAGCCCAAGCAGGAGCCCAGAAATAGTGAAGAAGGGAAAGTGAACCAGGCTTCAGCAATCATATCATGCTCCCGTGGTAACCTCTGTCATACTGACCATGTTATATTACAATTGTCTATCTTCTCCTATAGATGAGAAGGGGAGACTCCCAGCATGATGTGGTTAGGAGACAGGCTTCTGTCTTTTAGGAAAATATGTTATGTGGAAAAGAGTACTGGTTTGGGAGGGAATTTAGGCTGACTTTGAATCTGGGCTGTGGGCAAGGTACCTAATATTTCTGAGTCTTGGTTTTCTTCTCTGTAGAAGGAAGATTTTTTTTTCACCAGGTTAGTTGTGATGAGAAAATAGATAAAACATGCCTAGCACAGTGTCACACATAGTAAACACTCAATAAAAAGTAGCTATTGATATTTACTGTAGTTATTATTGCTGTTATTATTATAGCCTCTTCTCAAGGTCAGACACCAGAGAAGGGAAAAAATCATAAACATTAGGAAATAAATTGGAATTAAGACTTGGAATCCCTACTGCCTCAGCTCAGTCCCCCTAAATGGTGCAATAATAGACACAATAGAAGGCCACAGTGGGTCAAGGGCTGTGGTTCCAGTGGTTAGAGCATTGGCTCACATACCAAACGATGTCTCTTTCTCTTTCCTTCTCTCTCCCCTCCCTTCTGCCCTCTCTTCTCTACAATTCAATGGAAAAAATATCCTTGGCTGAAGATTAACAACAACAAAAAAGAAGGCCCCAGTGGAATCATCCACTTCTAGAAGGTGCTGCTTCCCAGATTTTGGTTTGTTTGTTGGGTCAGTGGGGAGAGTGGGGAATGGCTAGTTGGTTTTTTTTTTATGTCAGACCTGTCTAGCTCAGGTACCTGACAGATTTTAATAGCACCTCAGAGCACAAACAGGTTTAACTAAACAGCCATGTGCACCCCTCAGAACTTACATTGCAAACCTCAGAAACCAGCAACAAGTGGTGGGGTCTGGAGCCCTGGGACAGCTGCCTGCCTGATGCCCTTCATAATGTGTCTATTATTAGGAAGCTATTTCCTGTGCCACAGGGGACAGACAAGAGAAATGACACAGGCTTCCTTGTTACTGGAACTTCAGACTTCTCTTAAAAGTCAGAGGGGAAAATACTGTGTTTAAAGCAAATTGAAAGTTAAGAGCTCTGGGGGGGGGGGGGAGTCAAGATCTCTTTGACAGTGTGAGACCCTAAGTGGCTGTTCAGGGTAAAAACAGTCTTCAAGAATCTATCTACTTATATAAAAACCCTGGGTGGTGTTCATCACAACCAGAACCACGACCAAGCAGAAGAAAGTCAGTCCTATAGGGCTTGTCCTGGCAACGGCTATGCCCTCCTCCGAGTTGTTTCCCGGAGCTGTTTCCTGTAAGGGCAGGGTTTGAGGCAGGAACCCGCCCTGGGAGCATGGAGGCATTATCTTTATAAAGTGTGCTGTGCCAGCAAGCCGAGGATGAACCTGGGTGGGGGTGGCTGAAAGGCTTAGAAAAGACAGACAAGAGAATGAAAGTTGGGTCTTGGTGGGATGCTGCTTCTCTGAGAGACAGCGACCACACCCACAGCCATGCCTTTATTTTATAGCAGATACTATGAGGCAAAGTAAGGGCATGACCAAGATGTTTACAACATTCTCCTGGATTTCAATCCTACTCAACTACATGCACCTGAACTCTATCAAGCCCACATCACTCAGGCACGTGGGGCCACGTGTTCAGACCATAGGTTCAAGCTTACAACTACAGCTGTTGGCTATAATTGTGCTGGGAGGGCCCTGCCCTCCAAGCTGGGACTGCACGTGGCAATGAGAGGACTGTGCCCTCTCATCAGTCCAAGGCTTGAACCTGTCCAAAACACTGTAGTGGCTCCCCACAATGAAGTTTTAATTCTGTTTCTTTGTTACTACTGTAGTGGCCCCACCCCATAACAAAGAAACAATTTCTGGAAGATGAGGACCAGGAATCAGGATTTTGAAAAGATTCCCAGGTGATTCTAATGTGCAGCCAAGGTTGAGAACCACTGCTATAGATAATATTAAAACTATATCTAAACATGCAATTCTTTGTCCAAAAAATGAGCATGTTCAAAAATTAAATGAAGAAAATTTGGATATACTCGATGGAGATTTTCACACATATTTGAGTGATGATTCCATTGATTCCACAGATGATGCTGAAAAGGAAAATTTTCCCATTGAATTTCTTAATAGTATTACTCCTTCGGGAATGCCGTGTCATACATTAAAATTGAAAGTGGGTGCAATCATCATGCTATTGAGAAATCTCAATAGTAAATGGGGTCTTTGTAATAGTACCAGATTTATTATCAAAAGATTACGACCTAACATTATTGAAGCTGAAGTATTAACAGGATCTGCAGAGGGAGAGGCTGTTCTGATTCCAAGAATTTGTCCCCATCTGACACTGGCCTCCCATTTAAATTGATTCGACGATGGTTTCCCGTGATGCCAGCATTTGTGATGACTATTAATAAATCACAAGGACAAACTCTAGACAAAGTAGGCATATTCCTACCTGAACCTGTTTTTGCACATGGTCAGTTATATGTTGCTTTCTCTCGAGTTTGAAGAGCATGTGATGTTACAGTTAAAGTTCTAAGTACTTCATCACAAGGGAAATCAGTCAAGCACTCTGAAAGTGTTTTCACTCTTAATGTGGTGTACAGGGAGATATTAGAATAAGTTTAATCACTTTATCAGTCATTGTTTGCATCACTGTTGTTGTTTTTTAAATATATTTTATCGATCAGCTGCCTCCTGTACACCCCCTACTGGGGATGTGCCCGCAACCAAGGTACATGCCCTTGACCGGAATCGAACCTGGGACCCTTCAGTCGGCAGGCTGACGCTCTATCCACTGAGCCAAACTGGCTAGGGCATCACTGTTATTTTTATATCATGTTTTTGTTGTTTCATATCATGTTTTTGTTGTTTTCATATCATGTTTTTGTCGTTTTTATATCATGCCTCTGTTGTTATATCCTTTTGTTACTGTTTATTTATTAATAAATTTATATATTATTTTCATATACATTTTACTAATTTCCTTTCATCTCTCACACTTCTATTATAGAGAAAGGGCAAATAGCAATATTAAAATATCTCCGCTAATTAATTCCCTTTTTTAAAAAGATATATTTTATTGATTTTTTACAGAGAGGAAGGGAGAGGGATAGAGAGTTAGAAACATCGATGAGAGAGAAACATCAATCAGCTGCCTCCTGCACACTCCCCACTGGGGATGTGCCCACAACCAAGGTACATGCCCTTGACCATAATCGAACCTGGGACCCTTGAGTCTGCATGCCGATGCTCTATCCACTGAACCAAACCGGTTAGGGCAATTAATTCCCTTTTAATGTGCACGAATTTCGTACACCGGGCTACAAGTATTAAAATATTTCTTCTAATTAATTTCCTTTCAATGTGCAAAAATTTGTGCACCGGGCCACTAGTATTTAGATAACTCCTAAGAATCACAAATGAGAGAAACCAAGGACAGGGGGCAAATCTCTGGGCTGGTAGTAGCTGACATAGACAGTAATAATATGCATCCTCCAACATGTCCCTAGATTAACTGGTCCTGAGTCTGTATCATGCCAGAAGTTCTTAAGGATTCCTGAGTTAGAGGAAGCACACTTCCAAACCATCTTTCACTGGGCTCAAGGGCCCATGTGGACTTGTGTCATATTTAATGCGATATAAATGAAACCCTTGCTGCCTGGGGTAAGGTAGGGAGGGTTGATCTCTGAGAAAACTCCCAGCAATACAAATAAAGAGGTTGGTGGCTAAGAGTAGAAGAGGATGTCTTCCAGGTATAGGCCTTACAGGATGGTAAGAACACAGAAAGAGCATATCTCATACTTAGCCTAAAAAGGATAGGAACTACCCTTCCCTTTTGTCTACTATACAATAGAGAAGGGATAATTTAAGGGACATTGCATGGTCACAAAACAGTTTCCATTCTAGGCCACCTCTCCCAGGTTGGTGGTCTCACCCTCATGACCAAATGAACGTTTTCAATAATTTATTTTACATGAAGGTCACTGCTTTCACCCATCTCTTCCCTCAATCCCATAACCCCAGAGTCCCTGGACTTCTTGCCTCTTTCAGTATTTCTTTGGTTCTGAAAGGATGGATATAATGAGCAAGAGTACAAGGTCTGCCTCTTAAAGAACTGAGTGCTTCCTACTCTCCTTCCACCCTATACTCACACTAAGACAAGGGGAAGGCACAAGCACAAGTGAGTGACAGAGTGTGGGAAGTTTCATGCAAACCCAAACAACCACAGACAAAGAACCCAAGGCATAGGCCCTGGCACAGGCAGTCAGCAGCACCAAGCTCATCCACAAAAGATGGTTCTGAAAAGCCCCCAGACTCTTTGCAGGCCCCATCCATGCCCATTTCCCACTGTCTGGCATAAAGCATGCTGCATAAACCCAGCCAGGCAGCACCTTAAGATCCTCGTAGGCAGCCAAGAGGTTATGAATCCTCAAAACAGAAGAGAGCATCTAGGTGTTGGGGTGGCACAGGGGTGTGGTTTTGCTGGCCTTACCTCCTTTCCAAAGCAGGTAGATGGGCACCACGTAGAGCATAACATGCTGAATGTAATATACCTCCAATTCAAAGGGGAGCTGTAAGGACAGGAGAGAGAGGTGTTTCAGAACAGAAAGCACACATTTCCACAGATTCTGAACTTGAACACTCTTGCCACATCTTAGCAAACCCATGCATTTCACCAGTTCACCTCCCTTCACAATCAGACAAAAAAAACCAAACAAACAAACAAAAAAACAAGTGAAATGAATATACCTATGACCTAGGCTGGCATCTTCCAATGTGTATTTTGCAGAAATGGTACTTGAAAAATGTTCCACTAAGAAAGTTGGTTACCCCGTAACTTCTGTCTGTAAAAACCAGTGGGGATTGTGGCTGAGTGAGCTGGAGGGCTCTGGAGTCACAGGAAGCTCTTCTTAAAGGGACCAAACACAGACTTACTTGGACTCTCTCCTTCTGAGTTCCAGTACTGGGGCAGCAGCTTGAACAGAATCAGGGACATATGGGAGGAATTGAATTGTCTGGCATCAGGGAGAGAGATGGTGGGTGGGCAGCTTTCTTCCAGACAGAAGTGCTGGCAGAGGCCATTGCTCCTTTTCTGAGACTCACCCCCATAGAGCTGAAAGGCAGGTGCCATATCTGAGTATCCGTCAACTTGGCACACACTGTTTGCCCCATCTTGGTGATTCTCTGAAGCTCTCCTCCACCCAACTTTTGAGCTCACTTGAGTTGTTTCCAGTGGCTTTTCAATATGAACAGCCTGTCTTGCATCATACTTCAGACTTTCCTAAATCTCTCTAACAAGATGCATCTGGCCTCTGCATACTCTATACATCTTGCTAAGTAAACCCAGGCCTAGCACTAGTGGAAGCCTGGCACTGGTTCACAGCATGGTCTCTCCTTGGCACTTCCAAGCCAAGCACAAGTAGCAACAATCTGCAGAACACTCTGTAGCCTGTACCAGGTGGCTCCAAGATGCGCACAGGCAGTGGCTGACCTTGCACCTCCCAGAAGTCCCCAGAGCCAGTGCACCCAATGGACAGATTCATACCAAACTGGATTAAAACCCCACCACCTCCATGAGTGACACAATCAAGAGCCATACTCAGAGAGCACCGAAGACCCTGTTAGTCCTGTTAGGGTTGAATCCTGCATAGCAGCTCCTCTGATGTAGTCACGGCTGGTCAGCATGGGAGTCAATCCCTCCCAGTGATGTGCCAACAGCAATCAAGGCTCAACTACAACAAGACTGTGCACACCTGGAGTGCCCAGCTCAAGTGGCTGGGAACGCTGTGCCACTGGGCCCTACAGAACACCTACTACACAAGGCCACTCTACCAATTCCAGGAGACATAGCAGCTCTAGATAATATATAGAAACTAAAATTGGGAAGCAGCCAAAATATAGAGAAACATAAACAGATCCCAAATGAAAGAACATGAGAAATCTCCAGAAAAAGAACTAAGGCAAGCTAATGACCAGATACAGAGTTCAAAACTGCTTATAAGGATGCTCAAGGAACTTAGTGAGAACTTCAATAGCATGAAAAAAGAAATAGAAGCCACAAAAAAAGAACCAGTCATAAATGAAGGATATAGTAACTACTAGAGGCCCTGTGCATGAAATTCATGCACTCCATAGTGGAGGGGGTCGCTCAGGTGTCTGACTGATGGCTTAGGCCTGCTCCCAGCCGGGCTTAAGCCAGCTAACCTACCAGTCAGAGCATCTGCCCCCTGGTGGTCAGTGCACATCATAGCAACTGGTCAACCAGTCAACTGTCTGACCCCTGGTGGTTAGTGCACATCATAGTGAGCAGGTCAGCGGCCTTAGCATATCATTAGCATATTACGCTCTGACTGGTTGAACAGCCAAATGGACGAACAGACACTTAGCATATTAAGCTTTTATTATATAGGATAATGAAGAATACATTATAGCAGTGGATCTCAACCTTCCTAATGCCGTGACCCTTTAATACAGCTCCTCATGTTGTGGTGACCCCCAACCATAAAATTATTTTCATTGCTACTTCATAACTGTAATTTTGCTAGTTATGAATTGTAATGTAAATATCTGATATGCAAGATGTATTTAGGCGACCCCTGTGAAAGGGTCGTTCGACCCGCAAAGGTGTCGCAACCCACAGGTTGAAAACCACTGCATTATAGGGAATAAACAGTAGAGTAGATAAAGCAGAGGATAAAATAAGTGATTTGGAAGATAAAAAAGCATAAAATATACAATCAGAACAGAAAAAGAAAATATATTTTAAAAAATGAGAATAGTGTAAGGAGCCTCTGGGACCACTTCAAGCATACCAACATTCACAACATGGGGGTGCTGAAAGAAGAAGAGAGAGAGCAAGAAATTGAAAACCTACTTGAAAAAATGATGACAGAAAACTTCTCTAACTTGGTGAAGGAAATGGACATTCAAGTCTAGGAAGCACAGAAAGTCCCAAACAAGATGAACCCAAAGAGTCCCACATCAAGATACATCATAATTAAAATGCAAAATATTAAAGACAAAGAATCTTAAAAGCAGCAAGAGAAAAGCAATTAGTTACCTACAAAAGAGCTCCCATAAGACTGTCAATTGATTTCTCAGCAGAAACTTTGCAGGCCACAAGGGATTAGCAAGAAATATTCAAAGTCATGAAAAGCAAGGTCCTACAACCAAGATTACTCTACCCAGCAAAGCTATCATTTAGAATCGAGGACAGATAAAGTGCTTCCCAGACAAGAAAAAGCTAAAGGAGTTTGTCACCATCAAACCAGTATTACAAGAAATGTTAAAGGGTCTTCTTTAAGAATAAGAGGGGGGAAAGATAAAAAATATGAACAACAAAATGGTAATAAATACCTATCTCTCAACAATTGAATCTAAAAAACAAAATAAACAAGCAGAACAGACTCATAGATACAGAGACCATTTTGATAGTTACCACATGGGAGAGGGGTTAGGGGATGAGTGAAAAAGTTGAAGGGATTAAGAAGTATAAATTGGCTGTTACAGAATAGTTATGGGGATGTAACATACAACATAGGGAATATAGTCAATAATATTCTAATAACTATGTGTGGTGTCAGATGGGTACAAGATTTATTGGGATGATCACTTAGTAAATTATGTAATGTCTAAGCACTGGGATGAACACCTGAAACTAATATAATATTGTATGTCAAATGTAATTTAAAATAAAAAAAGATTTTTTAAAAAGAGAATGAAAGTTGGTTGAAAGGGTAAGAAATATTCCATACAATATATTCTTTTGAAGACTCACCATGTATATTAGTGGTATATGAAAGACCTGGGTGGTCTCTACAATTACAATTGTTTATACAGTGTTTCCCAAACTTAGTTAGCCAGTGCCTTTTTACAAATAACACTCAGTATTCTGCAGAATATACTGGAAGAAAGACAATGTTATTTCACCTCCTGTTCCAGGTGAGTAGCTGGTGAACTATTTAAAAGCTTATTTATCAGTTGACATGAAGAGCATATGGAATAGAATTTATTATTCCTAATTTCCAAATGAAAAAAAATTGATTGCTAGATCCAATGTGGTCTAGATCCAAGAAGAACTAGTTTTCCCACTGGATATTTGGGGTCAGTCCAGAGTTAGTCCTACTTTGGGGTGAAGACCAAGCAATTGGGCCAATATTTTTTGTCATACATTGCCAAAAATGTCTCCAACCTCCCTCCATCTAACACGCCCACACATTCACTCCTGTTTCCCGTCTCTCTCTCTCCAAATGGAAGCTCTGGATTACCAAGGCAGAGCACAGTTTCAAGTTGGCATGAGCACCATGCTGTATACCCTGGTAGTGAGTGGAGAATGAAAATGGCTGGGTGAGTAACTCAATTCCAGCAGCTGGCAAGAGGCCAAGCCTTCAGGCTTACACAGCCCCCAGTGTGCGCATGAGTGTACATACAGACACACACACACACACACACACACACACACACACACACACACACCAAGGGGAAGCCCAGAGAAATAAGGACACTCAGGGGAAGGTCAGCTGCCTCCTTGTTCCCTACAGAACAGGCACAGAAGCAAGGCTATGTACTAATAAGAGGAGGCATTTATGGGCTCTCCCGGCCTGGAAGCCCATGCCTGCCTTGTGCCAAGAGCTGAAACCAAAAGATGGCAGATGGCAGATGGCAGATGGCAGAACTCCCAGAGTGGGATTTGGGACAACTGTGGACCCTGGACAGACACTGGCTCTGGTTCTTGAAAATAAAAACCTACGCAGAAGGAAAATTTCCCATGGATCCAGATGATGCTCGACTATTATTTTATGTTCTCAGAGGAAAATGTAAAATCCCACAAAAAGAGATGAGGTTCTAAGCAACTCTGCAGACCATGCCTGAATAGCTGGGAAAAAAATCATGGGGTGTGACAATGGGCATCACTAGCAAGAGGTAGTTAGGCTTCCTCATAGTAATGTGGTCTTGGATCACCCTACTAACTTAAATTTCAGTACTGTTTCATGCTTTTTCTAATGTTTTCACATCCACCATTGACTCAATCCTCTCAAAACCCCATGAAGTTGGGGGATAAAGTATCATTATCTGCATTTGACAGGCGAGGAAACTGAGATGCAAAAGGGTTAACTGACTTGACGGTGGTCACCCAAAAAATAGGCAAGGAGCAAAGGACCCAGGAAGGCTCAGTGCTCTGGCTGTCATCTGACTTTTCAGGTACTTCAGGGACTTGACCTCTTCCTGAAAAGGGCCTGGGAACCCAGGCTACTTTCCTACAGTAGTGGAGCAGAGAACCATGCCAACGGCTAGCAGCCCCTGGTCCCAGCCAGATCGTCAAACAGTACCTCTGATGGCCTCTCAGACTCTATTTACCCACTGGACTCACAGTGCCTACTTACTTCTAGGTCCTGACAGCCTTACTAGGAAGCAAACTGCCCACCTGCTTTTCCAGTTTCGCACCATGGCTGCAAGCAAGGACTTTGGAGTCTTGTCAAATCTGTGTTCTACAATTTGATTCTGCCACTTAATAGCCCTGTGGTCTCAGGCAAGTCGCTGAACCTCTCCACCCCAGTGAAATGAAAATAAC